CCGACGGACCACGACGACGACGACGAGGGAGGAGGAAGGACGACCACGACGACAACGACGACGGAAACGACGACGACTCCGAAGAGGACGACGACGACGACGAGGAAAAACAGAGGACGACGACGCCGACACAGGCGACGACGTTGACGAGGGAGGAGGGAGGACGGCGACGACGACGACGACGCAAGAGCGCGCGCGCACGCTTTTGTTGAACATCCGTGTTGCGACACCCTGTGTTTTTGTATGTTTTTTGGATACTCGATTTTGAACTCCTTCCGAAACCCAAGGTTTTTGATGGATTTCGGCGTGCGCGCGCGACGACGCGCTCGCGTGCACTTCGGCTGTTTGTTGGAGAGAATTCTCGCGACGGCACGCGCGCAAGGGCGTTCAAAAGATTTCGACACGCGCGCGCGCGAAGCCCGTTTGGTAGCATGTCTTGAAAAACTTGGAAACCTGATGGTGTTCTTAAGATTTCGCAAGAGCGCGCGCGCACGCTTTTTTTGAAAATCTGTGTTGCGAAACCGTGTTTTGTTTGTATATCTCCGGAAACGATGGTTTTTGAAGGATTGCGGCATGCGCTCGCGACGACGCGCGCGTGTGCAATTCGTGATATTTTGTGCAAGGGATTTATGAATACGTATGAGTTTCGATAAACGAGTGCGCGCGCATAGTTTTGTTGCAGAGGATGGCGGGGGGTCGATACCGGCCTGGCTGGGATAGTATGAACTCACAGGATGGACATCGTATCAGAATCCGATGTGTTTCGCACGGTTCCTAAGGGGTCTTTAAAACCCAGGGGGGGGTAGAAATTATTCTTTCTTTAGAAAGGAGCGAATTTCTGTTCGCAATGGGTTTCCAATTCTTTTGCTCGCGCAATCATCCCGCCCACCCGCCCGCATTTGGTTTGCATGATGCAATGCGGCGGTGATTGCGATGAGTGCTTGTGTTGGCTGGTGCATCCCTGCGGCCGCGCTAGCCGTTAGCCCGCACATGCTCGCGCGCGCAGCGGCCAGCTAGATGGCGCGGCCGCCGCGGCCCCGGTGGCGTTGACCGCTGGGCATTGCCCACCTGGCACGGCGGTGCGAGTCTGCGACTTGGACGGGCGCGGAATCATGGCACCGTCGACGACGGTAGACGCGAGGATGATCGTAGCGATGTTGGTGACGGTGATGGCAACGACGACGACAAGGCCAGTGAGGTGCCGATGCCGATCCGGCCGACGACGATGACGGCGTCCTCGCGTCGGCGATGGAGGTTTTGAAAGCAGTTTGACATGCGCGCCGCCGACGCGCGAGAGTTGCCCCGCATGGTGCAAGCTGACACGGATCGTGCACCCCCCCAGCACGCGCGCAAGGGCGTTCAAATGATTTCGACATGCGGCGCGAAAGGCCTGTCTGGCAGAACTTGGTGAACACGTGGGTGAACTTAGGTTTCCGTGAAGAAATCACACAAAGCGCGGGCGCATGCTTTTTGTTGGAAAATTGGCGTTGCGAAGTCTATTGTTATATGTTTTTGGGGTACTCGATTTGGGAATCGTGACGTTACCTGAGTATTTTGAACGATCTGGCGTGCGCGCGCGACGGCGCGCGCGTGTGCACTTCGTCCCGTTGTGTGACAACGGATTCTTGCGACAGTACGTGCACAGGGGCGTTCGAACGATTGTGACATGTGCGCGCGAGAGTCCCGTTTGTCAGCGCTTCGTTATGATCATGGTGATAAACGTATGGTTCCGTCAGCAATTCGCAAGTGCGCGGGCGCAAACTTTTGTTCGACAGCTCGTGTTCCGGAGCAACGTGTTTTTGTTCACATGCGTGCGGGGCACCCGATTTTGAAATCGCTGCGAAACCCGGAAGCTGTTGAAGGATGTTTGCATGCACGCGCGACGACGCGCGCGTGCGCAGCTCGTCCCATTGCAATGTGTTTTTGGGAGTTGGTTCTTGATAAACGAGTGCTCGCGCATAGTATTTGGTTCAGATGATGGAGGGGGCGATACCGGCTTGCCTGGAACGGTACGAGCTCATTTTTTTGGATGGGCGATGGGCCAGAATCGCATGCAAATTGCAATGCGGAAAGGAGGGCCGTTCATTCCGGACGGGAGGGGCCGAATTTTTTGTTCTGAAGAGAGGATATATGGGGCGTAATCGATGTGGTACAACGTGTGTCGTGCCATGTATGTGGTGCACACAATCTACGTTGTGCTATATATGTGGAACAAACAATGGGTGCAATCTGTGTTGTGCCATTTGTGCGGTGCAATCGATCGAAGGGCTACGGCGAACCACGCGATACGCATAAGTGGCCAAACGGTTGGGCAAACTTTGACCGCACTATTGGACCATGCGTTCCCTCAGCCGTTTGTGAAGCCATCCCTTGTGGAACACGTTGGGGTCAAAGATGCAGTGGGATTGTGGAACCCCTCGTTGTATTCATGTTATTCTGTACACGTGAGACGCTACTTCTCCCTTAAAGCTTGAATGTGTTTCCAAATCGTGATGATCTCATTTTCTTCTTCCCTTCCGTTCTTTCGTTATTGGGTTCTTTCGTTCTCTACCTTTCTCTCTCTCTCTCTCTTACTTGTCGCCCGCTCCCGCCATCCTCTTCGCAAACGGTGCCACCCCGAGCATGGTCTTCGAAATCACAAGCACGCCGCGCAAGCACGCCGCGCAATGCAAGGGGAACCGCCCACAAACACCCATGCAGCCACCGACACGCAAGCACAAATGCAATGCAACGCAATGCAGTGCAACGCACACCCCGCAATTTCACATCCCACGCACCACGGAAGGACAAGCGGTTGCTTTGTCCCTCATCATTGTTTTGTTGTTCTCTCTCTCTCTCTCTCTTGCTCCCTCCCTTCTTGCTTTGCGCACGAAGCAAGGAAGAATAGTTCGGAAGGGGATGTGGATGCACAGGAGGCGGAAGGAAATTATGCAATGAAGCCGCCCACAAACCCACACGCAGCCGCGAGTGCAATGCAATGCGAAGCACGCCACGAAAGTCAACCGTCCACGCACAATGGAAGGACAAGCCGTTGGTTTATTATTCCCCCTCACACCACGGAAAAGGGTAAGCGAATGTTTTTTGTCTTTCTTTCTGTATCTTCCTCTCTCTCTCTCTCCTTTTCCCCCTTTTGTGCGCGCAGCACGAACGAAACACCCCGAAGAGGAATGTGGATGCAACGGATGTGGAGGCGCACACTGCAATGCAACCGCCCACACGCATTGCGAATGCAATGCAAGGCGAAACGCGTCACGAAATTGACCCCCCCCCCCCCCTGCACCACGGAGGGACAAGCGATTGTTTTCTGTGTCCCCCTCTCTCTATATCTTCCTGCCCCGTTCCCTCTGCGCGTGCAGCAGGGAGGAATACCATCGAATGGGGGGTGTAGATGCAACGGAGGCGGGAACAGCCAATGCGATGCAATGGCCCACAAACACCACCCCTGCAACCACCCACACGCAACTGTGAATGCCATGAAAGGCACAGCGCGCCACGTAATTGAGCCCCCTCTGCACCGCGGAAGGACACGGGATTGCTCTCTCATTCCTCCCTCCCCCTTCTTTCTTTGCCTCTCGTTCTCCTTGTCCTTTTCCCCTCTGCGCGTGCAGCAGCGAAGAGTCACATCGAAGGGGGATGTGGATGAGGCGGGAGCAACCAATGCAATGCAACGGTCCTCAAACACCACCCATGCAACCACCCACACGCAACCGCGAATGCAATGCAACGCGACGCGCGCCACGCAATTTCCCGCACCCCCGCGCACCACCTCTCTATCTCTCTCTCTCTTTGTCTCTCTCCATTCCCACTTTGCGCGTGCAGCATAGATGAATAATGTTGACGGGGGACGTGGTGCAAAGGATGCGGAAGCAACCAATGCATTGCAACCGCCCACACGCATTATTCGTGCAACCGCCCACACGCAGTCGCGAATGCAATGAAATGCTCATTTCGCCACCCACTTGAACCTCCTTCGCACCACAAGGACAAGCGGTTGCTTTCTCTTTCCCCCTCAACCACGGACGGGCAAGCGATTGTTCTCTCGTTCCCTCTCTATCCCCCTTCTCTCTTCCGTTTCCCCTTTTTCGCGCGCGCAGCACAAACGGATAATCTCGAAGGGAAATGCGGATGCAAAGGGGGCGGAAGCAAATATTGCAATGCAACCGCTCAAACAACACAACCCGTGCAACCACCCACACGCAACCGCGAATGCAATGCAAGGCAACGTTCGCCACGCAATCCCACCCGCCACGCCCACGCACCACGGACGGACACGCGATTGCTCTGTCTCTCCCTCCTCCTCTCCCTCTCTCTCTCTCTCGCTCTCTCTCTCTCTCTCGCTCTCTTGCTCTCTTGCTCTCTCTCTCTCTCTTTCTCTCTCCCAGTTTCTCTCTCCTTTGCGCACGCAGCACAACAGCGCACCGCCTCGGCGGAGGATGTAGATGCGGAGGAGGCCCAAGCAGAACAGGCAACGCAACCGCCCACAAACACTACCCATGCAACTATCCACGCGCATTTCCGGATGCAATGCAGTGCAAACTCGCCACGCAATTCCCCCTTTGGCACGCACCGAGGAAGGACAAGCGGTTGCTCTTTCTTTTGTCTCTCTCTCTCTCTCTCTCTGTCTCTCGCTCGCCTCTCTCTCCCACGTTTTTGTTCTCTCTGTTTTTCTCTGTTACTCTCTTTCTCTCTCTCGCTTCTCGCGCGCATCACAGGGGCGGAGCACATAGAAGCGCACATGCAATTGTCTACGCACGCACACCACAACGCAGGAACGGAAGTCAGAGGAGGAATTTCTTGCGTTATCTCATTCTCTCTCTCTCTCTGTCTCTTCCCTTCTGTCCCCCTAAGGCGCATTGCAGAACTCGCCCCCTCCTCTTCCTCCTCTGTGGATTCTTCCTCATCTGTGCTCTCCTCCTCTTGTTTCCTCCTCCCGTTTTTTCTCTCACCAACGCCCCAGAGAAAAACATCGGCGAAGCCGTTCCGATTTTTTCGAGGGGGGAGGATATCAGCCGCCTGGTTCTCTTCCTCTTCCTCCTCTTCCGCATTATCTTCCTCGTTCTCCTCCTCCGTCCCCCCCTGCAAACTCAGAAATGAGTAGCCAGGAATTGTGACATTGTCATGCCGTCTCTGGCGCGACCCGCCTTCTTGCTCTCGTCTCTGCACAAGGTGCGGGATGACCAGAGTGTGAGCCCGGACTATCGAACGGACACTGATCGAATTTTCGCTTTATCCGCCGCCCGAAACGAGTATGAGAGCTTTCAGCTGGTAGTGCCTAGACCCAAGGCGGCCGAGGACTTGTTTGATACGGTCGACGGCGTTCAGATCGCAGCGTCAGAGGCTGGCGCTTCCTTCAAATTTCTCGTGCACGGCGTGCGGTCCATCAACATTTCGCAAGTGTCGGACTGCGACGGCCGCGTGGGCAGATGGCCAGACGCTCTCGTGCCTGCCGTGGATCCCTGGTTCAACGAGACGCGGCGGGTGTTCCCGGCGCCGTTCTCCGGGAATCAGTCCGCACTGACATTTTGGGTGGATCTTTTCGTAGGCCCCGACACGCCGGCCGGGTCGCATGCGTTTCACGTACACTTGAGAGTGTCATCCTCAGGCTTCAGCAGGACTCGGGGGCTGGAGAGCAGTCCAGCTGACATCGAGCTGCCCTTCGTAGTCCGAGTGTTTGACTTCTCGTTGGATTCGGAGCCCGCCTACAAGTCCTCATACGGGCTATCCAGCATCGGGATGCTAGTCGCGAGATTCGGAGAGCAGTGGGAGAAGTACTGGCCCTCCGCAGGGCGAGAGAGCACCACCCATGGTGAGCCTGACTCGGGTTCTACACTAGCTGCTATGCAGCAGCAGTATTTAGAGCTCGGACTGATGCACAGGGTGAGCTTCACGCACGGTGTGAGGGACCCTGCTATTCTGAAGGCGTTGGAGTCGGGTGACGCTGTGGATTGGGCGCCGTACGATCGACGGTGGCGAGATCTTTTGGGATCGAGCGGTCGCAAGCTGCCTTTTGGTCTCACAAACGCACGGCTGACCAGTGTGGAGTCTCCAGGCCCCGGAAGTCGAGTCGGAGCTGGGAAAGATGCCGCTGCTGCCGTGCTGCCAACTGAGAGCCAGCCTGATCCAAGTTCTGCTGATAACATCACTGTTGAATTCTATCGTCACTTTCTCCTTGACAGGGGCTGGCCCGCAGACCGAATCCTATCTAAAGTTTGCGACGAGCCTTCTAGCGCGCAGCAGTGGCAGGAGTGTGCGGAAACCTGTCGCGCCCTCAAAGCCGCTTTCGCAGACTCCGCTGACGCCGGGAAATTGGCTTCTTCTCTCCGTTGCGAGGTCACTACGCACATCTCGCAGCTGGAAGATGAGCGCGGAACAAACTACTACACGAATGGCAGCTTCATACTGCGCTCTGAGGAGGTGGGCGTCTTCACGGCGCTTGTGAACTTTATGGAGAGCAGTCGGGCGACGTGCGCGGACTACCCTCGGTGGTGTCTCGACCGAAACACGCGCCCCGATTTCGAGAAATGGATGGCCGCAGATCCACAGCGAGAGCTCTGGCTCTACCAGAGTTGCATGAGCGACGGGTGCTCATCAGGAATTGGAAAAAGCGACGGCTGTATCCCAGACAACACGTGTCGTCGTGGTTGGCCTTCTATGATGATCGACAATCCGCATGTGACCATGCACAGAGCCATGCCACTGGTGACTCGCCACTACAACGCCTCGGGCGAGCTGTATTGGAGCGTGAATTTCGGTGATTCGTGTGCGGCGGACAACCCGGCGGGAAATTGCAGGTATGAGGGGCGTCGTTACTCGCTGGACACTTGGTCGGACCAGCTGCTTCAGGGTGGCAACGGTGATGGACAGCTGACTTACCCTGGAACTTTTGAGAAGATCGGCGGCAGTCCGGAGACGTTTATCCCAGTAGCGAGCATCCGGCTCAAAGCGCTGAGGGATGGCATAGAGGATTGGATGTGGTTGCAGAAGTTGTCTGAGCTGTCGGGCGCAAGCAGTCGCCAGTTCTTGTCCCGATTGGTGCAGAGTGGCTGGCGCTACGAGCTAAATCCAGACGAGTGGTTGAAAGTGAGAGATGAGATAGGAATGGAGATCGAGTTTCGTCTTCGTGGAAGAGACACAGAGGTTTTCAATTAGGATGTTGGGTATCATTATTGAAGGCGCCACTGCAGCTGCTCAGAGACAATGTGGCCGTCTTACGGCGTTCATGAAACATCGGACACCGTTTGAAGCCGCCTTGGGAGCCTCTCTGGGCCGTTTTGGGGCCCTCTTGGGGCGCTTCGGAGTCGTCTTGAAAACCAGTTTTGGGCGTCTTGGAGGCCTCTTGGGCCGTGGCGAGGTCCTGCTGAGTGCCGTCTTGGGAGCTTTTTTGGCCGTCCTGAGGTCATCTTGGGGGCCTCTTTGGCCGTCTGAAGGCTGTTCGAAGTAAATGCCAACATTCTTGAAAATCATCCAGAACATCAATGGTTCGGGCCTCTCCTGGCCTTCCTGGAGGACCGCTTGGAGGCCTCCTTGGACCGTCTTAGGGACTTCCTGGGCACTTCTTGGGCCGTCTCCGGCTTTCTTCGACCATCTTGGCGATCTTGGAGGCATGATGGGGCCGTCTTGGACGCCACATTGGGGCTATCTTGGGCTCTCTTGGGACCATCCTGCCCGTACTGGAAAGACCATCTTGGGCCATCTTGGCCGCCTCGGGGGCGATCGGGGCAGCGGAGACCGAATTTTCCCCGGCTTTCCGGGTGGCCACCGGGTTGGGCCGAAGCCCCATGGGGTGAGTTTTGTAGAAAAGAACCACAAGTTCCCAGACATCCAGCACGCCAGGCACCCCTGTGGCAAGACCACAGGGGGCGGCGGATCGCAGGCGCTTGCGGCGGATCACCCCAGCTCCCCTGCTTTTTCGGATACGCCGATGTATGTGGCCAAACGTTTGGGAAAAGTTTGGCCACGCTGTTGGACCATGCGTTCCCCCAGCCGTTGTGGGAGCCCTTCGGGTAACACGTGGGGGAGGAAATGGATGATGAGGGGAGGGAGGAAAAAAGAGTGAGGAGAAGGATGAGGAGACTTCTTGGGAGTTTGTGTGGTCATTCTTGGGGCCTCCTGGGAGCTTCCTGGGACCTCTTCGAGGTCTCCTGGGTGCTTCCTTGGGCCTCTTGGGGCTTCTTGGGGGCTTTTCGGGGCCTTTGGGTTCTTTTTGGGGGCCTCTTTGGCTGTCTTTCGGCACTAGCCAGTCTGACACTGTCGGAAGCCCCTTTGGGAACTTCTTTGGGCCGTCTTGGGGCCCTTTTGGGGCGCTTCGGGGTCGTCTTGGAGCCCATCTTGGGCTTTTGGGAGGCCTCTTGGACCGTCTTTGGGCCCGGAGCCGTCTTGGGAGCCTCTTGGGCTTGCCTGGGGCCATTTTGGAGGCCTCTTGGGCGATCTTGGGGCGATGTTGGGAGCTTCTTGGGCCGTCTTGGGCCGTCGGACGCCCAGTTTGAAGCAACTGCCTAAATCCTTTGTCAAAGCCTATCATTTCGTTTGGTTTCTGTTGGTCTTCCTGAAGCCCTGCCCTCGGCACCCGACGGCTGCCCAGAGGTCTTGGAGGCCTTTTGGGCCGTTTTGGACTCTTCGGGACCTCTTGGGCAGTTTTGGGTCACTTTGAGGCCATCTTGCATATTGGGGCCAAGTTCTTTTCTCTGGGGGACATCTTGGCCGTCTTGAAGAACAGTATGGGAGGCATCTTGGGGCCATGTTGGACCTCTTGGAGGCCATCTTGAGCAGTCTTGGCGCACGGGGCGGCGGATCGAAGACGCGTACGGCGAATCACGGCCGCCCCTTGCCTGTTTGGAAGCGCCTGAGTGGCCGGAAGTTGGGTTTGCGCTTGGCCAAGCTATCGGGCCACGCGTTCCCAGAGTGGGTTTCGAAAGCTTTCGTGGAACACCGAGTCGGGCGAGGTATCGGGCCAGGTGGTTTCCGAGCTTTCGGGCCTCCTGGAGGACATCTTGAGGGGGTCTTGGGCCGTCTTGGAGGCCTCTGGCGGGCCTTTTGGGCTGTCGAAGGCCATCTTCAGGCCATCTGGGGCCGTCTTGGGTGCATCTTGGGGCCATCTTCGCTGTCTTGGAGGCCTTCTTGGCCGTCTTGGAGGCATCTTGGAGGCCATCTTGGCCGTCTTGGAGGCCATCTTCGGCGTCTTCGGGGCCATCTTGGGCCCTGTTGGGGGCCTCTTAGGCTGTCATGGGGCCATCTTGGAGGCCTTTTCGGCGCTCTTAGGACGGAGTTGGGGACCGCTTGGGCCGCCTTGGGCCGTCGGAGAGCTGCAACAAAGAAAATGCCCACATCCTTGAAACCCTATGACAAAATCAATGATTTGGGCAATTTCGGGCCTTCCTGGAGGACGTCTTGGAGGGCTCTTGGGCCGTCTTGGAGGCCTCGTGCGGACCTATAGGGCCGTCTTAGGCAATCTTGAGGCCATCTTGGGCCGTCTTGGGTGCATCTTCGAGCCATATCAGCCGTCTTGACGGCCATCTTGGGCGCCTTGGAGGCATCTTGGAGGCCATCTTGGCCGTCTTGGAGGCTATCTTGGGCTTCTTGGGGGCCTCTTGGGCCGTTTTGGGGCCTTCTTGGGGCCCTGCTGGGGGCTGCTTGGGCTGTCATGGGGCCATCTTGGAGGCCTCTTGGGCTGGGTCGATGTTGGGGGCCGCTTGGGCCGTCTTGGGCCGTCGGAGAGCTGCAACAAAGAACATGCCCAAATCCTTGAACAACCTAGGACAATCAATGATGTCAACCCTGTCGGGCCTTCCTGGAGGACGTCTTGGAGGGTTCTTGGGCCGTCTTGGAGGCCTCTTGCGGGCCTTTCGGGCAATCTTAGGCCATCTTGAGGCCATCTTGGGCCGTTTTGGGTGCATCTTCGGGTCATCTCGGCCGTCTTGAAGGCCATCTTGGCCGTCTTGGAGGCATCTTGGAGGCCATCTTGGCAGTCTTGGAGGCCATCTGGGGCTTCTTGGGGGCCTCCTGGACCGTCTTGGGGCCTTTTGGGGGCTGTCTTGGGGGCCTCTTGGTCCGTCTTGGAGGCTTCTTGGGCACTCTTGGGGCGATCTTGATGACCTCTTGGGCAGTCTTGGGCCGTCGGAAGGCCGAAAAGGAGCAAACGCCAAAATCCTTCAAGAACCTAAGGACTATCAATGAGGTTTACCTCTTCGGGCCGTCTTTGAGGACCTTGGAGGACCTCTTCGAGGCCTCTTGGGCCGCCTTGGAGGCCTCTTGGAAGCATCTTGGAAGCCTCTGAGGCCGTCTTGGGTCATCTTGAGGCTATCTTAGGCCGTCTTGGGTGCATCTTGGGCCGTCTTGGAGGCCTCTTGAGGTGAGGCCATCTTAGCTGTCTTGGAGGCCATCTTGGCCGTCTTGGAGGCATCTTGGAGGCCATCGTGGGCCATCTTGAGCGAAGAGGCCGACGAGGCAGGCAGCTGGCGGGACGGGCCGAAGCCCCAGGGGGAGTTCTTTTGGAAAAAGAGCCAAAACCGAAACCGAGAGGATCCAGCACGCCGGGCACCCCTGTGGCCTCTTCGGGCCCTCTTGGGATGCTCTTTGGAAGCTTGGGTTTGCTCTCGGAGCCACACTGGAGGAAATCGCTTACAGAACGGAAGAGCTTGAATTAGCCTTGCCCTTCTAGAGTGCCTATATGCGTTTTTAGGACCTCCCTTGGAGCGCTCTTGGGGCCCTCTTGGGCGCTCTTGGGGCCGTCTTGGGGCTTTATCGGGCCTCTCTTGGGGCTCTATGGAGCTCTCTTGGGGCTGCCTTGAGGCCTCGGCAGGCCATCTAAAGCAACAAGGCGAGAAGGCACACGTCATTTATTCCCGTCGGTTGTGAATGGTTTGGGCCTCCTGGCGGCCTCCGTGGGACGCTCCGTGACCACTTGGAACCGTCTTGGAACGGTTTTGGGGCCTCTGGGAGCATCTCGGGGCCATATTGAGGCATGTTTGGCTGTTTGATCCCATCTTGGAGGTTCTGTTGGGCTCACTGAGGCCCTCTTGAAGCCGTCTTGGGCCATCTTAGACGCTCTGACCGCTCGCGGGGCGCCCCGTGCAGGTCCAGGCGAGGGGGTATGGGGGAGGGGAAACCCCTCCCCGAAGGGGAAGAAAGGGGTTGGAAGAGGAGCCTCTCTAGACCACCTACGCCCGGAGGGCTGGTGTGATTCTCGGGCTTGCAAGGCCGACGCACGCGAAACAACACGTCTCTGCCGCAGGACGTTGCGGTGGAAGGCCGACGGCACACATTGGATCCGAGCACCAACTGCGCTCAAGACCCTTGGGAGGCAGGTCTGTGGCCGTCCTGTGCCAACTCAGGGGACAGTTGTGCCCTGGGGGGCCGCCAGGGAGTCCGCTTCCCTCATGCCCTCATGTGGCCCTTCCATGGGAAGCGGGTAAGGCTCGTGCTACGGACGAGTGCGTCTTGCCGTCGGTAGGATCATGCCTTTTCTATTGCAAGCGTCGTTGACTGTGCCAGATGCAGAAGATTTACACAGGGCCAGACGGGGGCTTGCCAGTGGCACCGAGGCGATTGATTGGCATTTTCATTCAGACATGGAAAACCGCAGGAGATATAGCCAACAAAATCCGTTTTAGGAGCGTTTGGGGTACAGCCGTAGTCTTCAGGCGTTCGCAAGCAGCGGACTGGCAATCGGAAGCTCCAGTCGTGGCATCGTGATGGCGTGTGTACGATTGATGTTGGATGAGTGTATACCCCATGTCTGAGACAAACCACGTCTCCATGCACAGATGGCGTGTGCCCAGAGTTTCACGTGGTACGTATAGCACGCGCACATGTGCAACATGCGTGCGCCCGTGCGTGCGAACATTCCAGTGCGCATGTGTTTATGTGCGTACTTCCTGAGCGCATCTGTATGTTCGCATGTATGTATGTCTCGCTACATGCTGTTTCACAATCTCAAGCTGTTTGGTTTGTCGCGCCCTCGCGATCGAGGTGGCGCCAAGCATGATTCAGGCTACCCGCAAGTCGCGCAAATCGCAGGGCAAGCTGCGGGCCGCGTGAGCGACATCTGTTGCTCGTAGAAGCATCCGTTAGTTGCGAACGCCTAGCCTGGTCCGCTAAGAAAAACACTAGCTCTGGCTTGCGAAGCGATCCGTTGCTATCTTCGCTCATGCTCTTTGCGGCGCTGGCTTTTTTTGGCGTCGGGATGATTCTGCAGGAATCGTGGAACTGGCAATCATGGATGAGGAACAGTGGAAGAGTCAACATAGACAGCTTGAGCAAATCAGTGTGGGCCCCGCTCATCCCCACCATTCCCACCATACACTGACATTGGCGACGCAACTGAAGGATTTGCCTGACGGTGTGGATGCGCGAATCCCTACGTGACGCGAACACGACCGGGGGACGCGCTCGCACGAGCAGGGAGGGCAGGACCGCAGGGAAGGCAGGACGACGGATGAGGAAACGGTGAGGAGGAGGAGGAGGAGGAGGAGGAGGAGGAGGATGTTGAGGAGGAGCGTCATGATGATAAAGAGGAGGAGGAGGAGGAGGAGGAGGAGGAGGAGGAGTAGGAGGAAGAGGAGGAGGCGAGCATGGAGGAGGACCCAGGGGATCGGCCTTCGGAGACCTGCCTGCCGAGGTCCCCGAAGGCCGATCCACCGCGTCGTGGTTACGGATGGGCCCCCGCCTTGCAAAGGGGGGGAAGAGGAAGAGGAGGATGAGGAAGACGGATGAGAGAGGGTGAGGAGAGGGCGAGGAGGAGGAAATGGAGGACGAGGAGAGGGGGCTAAGAGAGGAGGGATGAGGGAAGGTTGGGGAGAGGGTGAGATGAGGGTGAGGAGGAGATAATGGATGAGGGGAGGGTGAGGAGGACAGGAGGAGGAGGAGGAGGAGGAGGAGGAGGAGGGGGATGAGGAGGAGGAGGAAACGGAGGTTGAACATGGGGAGCTTCATGACAAGGAGGAGGAGCAGGAGGCGAGCATGGAGAGGGAGGAGACGGGGGGAGGGGCTGCGCGATGGCCAGCGCGCGCCTGGTCCACCTGGCTCTGGCGGCCGACAGGGGCGCCATTGCCGCCACACACCCCGGAAGCCGCCATCGGGTGAGGGCTTTGGGCGTCGCGTACATGGGGGGGGCGATGCATGGGAGGGGTAGGAGGCCACATGTGAACCCTACCCCTGCCCCCCCATGATTTCGGAAGCGGGGGGGTGGGGTTCACGTCGTTCGGGAACTCCCGAGCGAAGTGAACCCCACCCTCCCCCTCCGAAATCGTGGGGGGTAGGGGTAGGGTTCGCATGTGGCCCCCTAAGGAGCAGCGCAGGCTGCAGGAAATGGGCCCCTCAAGGGGCCCTTCAGGGACCCGTTCCCCCCCCCCCCCGCCGTTATCGCTCCTCCACTAAGCGACGCCCAGGGGCTCCCGCGGTCGGGGCTCCCGCGCGCCCCCGAGCCAGGTCGCCTCCGCCGCCCCCCTCCCGCCGCCGCCGCCGTCGTCGGAGTCACGATTGCAGCGTCAGCATCGTCGTCGTCGTCGTCGTCAGCGTCAGCGTCGTCGCTGGCGTCGGCGTCTTCGTTGTCTGCGTCGTCGCTTCAGTGGGATACTCACGTCTAGAGTTCAAGTGTTGCTCATCTCCGGAAGCAGTTCCAGGCGCTCTCGCCTCGAAATTGGCTAGGTTTTCTTTGAATACGAGGCTCCCGCGCGAGCGCGGGCTTGGTTCCAAATCGCGATTGTTGAAGCTCCAATATACAACGACAACGGCTCCCGTTCGATGCTTCCTCACAATTCACTCTGAGACGCCTTGGCCAGAGAGGCCCCCCAGCACCAGGAAAGTGATCTCGCCCGAGACGTCCTCGCACTTCAGTCAAGCTGGTGAAGCCCAACTGCGATGACAACGGCTTCCGCTCGTAGTTCCTTTCAATGTATTCCGGTACGCCTTTGTTGTAGAGGCCCCAAAATTCAGGCACGGCGCTCTTGCTCGAGACTTCTTCGAACGTCACTCACGTTGGTGAAGGCCCAGCCATTACGACAAAGGCACCCTCTCGATACTTTCTCACAATTTTCTCCGGAACGCCCTGGCCAGAGAGGCCCCAAAACACAGGAACGGCGCTCTCGCTCGAGAAGTCCACTCTGATCAGTCAAGTTGGTAACGGCCCAGCTGCGGCGACAACGGTTCCAGCTTGCTACCTCTTGAGAATTTACTCCAAGACGCCCAAGGCGACACTTCCCTGCAATCCAATCAAGTTGGTGAGTTGCCCGCGGGCGGGTCAGCTCGCACTACGGCCACTGCGGCGCGGTGCGCATACAAAGTGCACTGGTGAATGCGTGCCGCAGGAGTTGCTATGAAAAGAAGCCTTCGCAAAAAGGTGCTGGTTCATAGACTCAGCGGGCGAGTACAAGGGGTAGGGAGAGAGACAAAGGAAGTCAACATTGCTTTCGGGATCACATGTTCGCAAGGTGGCCGTTTTCGCAGTTGTCATCGTCGTCGTCAGATCGTCCGCGTCAGTGTCAGAGTTCGTCGCCATCGCTCCTGCTCGTACTGCGGCTGCTGCTCCTGCGTCCCGCCTCCCGCTCACGCGGCGTGCTCGTCCCGCTCACGGCTCTGCTTACGCCTTTGCGCTCCTGCGCGTCCCCTGCCGCCGATCCTCCACTTCCTCTCCTCCCAGGGTGTCCTGCTCATGCTTCCCCCCCCCCCGACCCCGCTCCTCCGCCGTTCCCTCGCCTTGCCGCTCGTGCTCCTCCTCCTGGGCCTCTCCGCCTCGACCTCGTGTTGCGTTCCCTCTTCCCCTCCCTCCGGTTCGGCTTTCCCGAGGCAGCCTCACCGGAGGGGCTACAGTCGACCCGCCTCGTGAGGACGAGCGACTTTCCAAGGTGACCCCTGCATCCTTCCCCTTCGGCCCATCCTTGCCCGCTGTCGCTGGCCGCACCCCGATCGCAAAATGCCGCACGTGGCCTGCCGAGGCCCTGGCATCCTTCCCGTGCGTCCTTGTTCTACGGGTGAACTGCATCTTCAGCTGTTCTTACGCCCCGCGAGGGCTGCCCCCACCTCCGGGCACCTGGGTCCACCCGCAGGGTCGCCGAGGCAGCCGCGCCTCTTGCGCAGCGCGGGCCAGAGTGGGCCGCCGCTCCTCGCAGGGGGGGCGGCGCCGGAGCGCGGAGAGGACGCTGCGCCTCGCAGGTGGCGGGTGCGACCCGTGAGCGACGAGCGGACAACACAGTACGCCGTAGCCACAGGGGGGTCGGAGGGAGGAGGGCTTGCTAGGGGTGGGGGTGCGTGTCGTCGGGCCCCAGAGGAGGCTCCCGTTCGGGCGGGGGCCCCCGTCCGGCAGCACGCACTCAGCTGGCCCCCTCCGGGCCCCCCCCATGGGTGTGGGTGTGTGCTGTTCGCTCGTGAGCAAAGTTGGGTGACCCAGAGTGAGATGCAGTTCGTGGGAGGGTCGATTCGGCATCGGCGCTGGTGCATCCGCGTGCGAGGGCGAGCCATATACCGCACAGTCCCGCCCCAGACCGCCTCCATCTGCGCAGTCCGGCCAGGTCCCGCTCCATCTCATCTCGAGCCCAGTCCATCCTGATCTGGCCCGGTGGCCCCCTGTGTCGGGCTCAGCAGCCCTTCTCTGTTCTCACGAAGGCCTTTCCAGTCGCTGCCTCCTGCCCACGGGTGCCCCCGACGCATCTCCGACGCATCCACATCGCACAGGATGCGTTGTCGCATGTCCACCGAAGCTGGCAACGCCTTTGCGACATTACAGATGGTGGGTGCGCGCATCAAGACGCCATGGGCGTTTCGTCAGGGTACCCTGGGTTTCTTTGCTCCGCAACCTGCGCGGTGACTTCCCGCTGTCGTTGAAGAAGCTGCTGCGTTCAGTATCCTCCGGGTCTCCCCTCAGGTGCACCTCGCGCGCGGGTTTTCAGGGTTGGGTTTTTGGTGAAGGTTTCTTGCGGCCGCGCTCGCGTTGTAACGCATTCTTTATATGACGCATCCTACGCGTTGTGGATGTGTCGTTGGCGCCCCGGCTGAGGTGGCCCGCCATCGCGCCGTGGGCCACCCCCGTCCGACAGATGCCGCCCGCGGGCCCCGCGCGGCGGCGCCACCGCGCGGCGGCCGGCAGCCGCGGCCAGCAGCTGCGCCGCTGCGCCGTCGCGGCTGGGGTCACTTTCGCCCTGGCTGAACTCTTCGCGGGGGGAGGAGGAGGAGGAGGAGGAGGAGGAGGAGGAGGAGGAGGAGGAGGAGGAGGAGGAGGAGGAGGAGGGGAGGAGGAGAGAGGGAGGAGGGGAGGAGGAGGGAGGAGGAGAAGGAGGAGGAGGAGGAGAGGAGGAGGAGGTGGACGAGGAGGACGACGAGGACGAGGAGGGTGAGGAGGACGAAGAGGACGAGGAGGACGAGGAGGACGAGGAGGACGAGGAGGACGAGGAGGAGGAGGACGAGGAGGAGGACGAGAGGTGGACGAGGAGGAGCACGAGGAGGAGGAGGAGGCAGAGGAGATGGAGGAGGACGAGGAGGAGAGAGGGGAGGCGGAGGCGGCGGCGGAGGCGGAGGCGGGCGGAGGAGGAGGAGAGGAGGAGGAGGAGGAGGAGGAGGAGGAGAGGCAGAGGAGGAGGAGCAGAGGAGGAGGGGAGGAGGAGGGGAGGAAGGAGGAGGAGGAGGAGGAGGAGGAGAAGGAGGAGGAGAGAGGGGGAGGAGGACGATCGGCCACTCGCAAAGGGGCATGGGAGGAGGGGGCAACTTTCCTAGAGGCACGGCTGCTTCTTAGAAGGCGCGGGCCTTCTCTGTAGACGTAGGGCTCGCGCCTGCTGAGAAGCAGCCTCCCCCTCCCCCCTGCTGCACCTCTGTGCGCGCCGCCAAGAGGAGGAGGGGCGCTGAGCGGCAGCATCGGGCGCTCGGCGAGCGGGCGGGCGCGGGCGCGGCGGCGCGTGCTCGCCCTCGCCGAGTGACGGGGGTCCCCTCGGACTCGGGACCCCCCGGGGCCGCGTAGGAGGACAAGAGGGAGGAGGAGGAGGAGGGAGAGGAGGAGGAGGAGGAGGAGGAGGAGGAGGAATTCTCCAGGATTCAAGCCGGGGTGGGCCCTGCAAGTGTATTGTCGTACTCGTGTTCCTTACGTCTATCTGACCTTCTGTCTTCTGATACCGATTT